AGAGAGAGAGAGAGAGAGAGAGAGAGAGAGAGAGAGAGAGGACAGAGTGAGCAGCAAACAGCAGCAGATCAGAAATAATTTAAAGAGTGATGCATAAGCACACAAAAACACAGTAAAACCTAACCCATCTCATAACTCACCTTAAAAATTGCTTGTTTTGCCTGCAGATAAAATAATTCCACTGTCACTTTGTCTCTGAGGTAGGCTATACTTTCTATATAGAACCTGAAATGAAGGAGAGCAAGATTTAGGAATCAGCTGAATGGCAAAGCTCATAGAAAAAACAAAAACACTGTCAGTTTGTATTTTCATAGAATAAATAACTTATAACCTGAAATGAGCAAATGTAGTAAATCAAAAACTTGATAGCTTCTGCGACGTCCAGACCACTATTCAATACAACAAAATGCAACAAAATAAAGCTACAGCGCTAGAAACAGGGTTTCCGCCTTCGCTAAAATTTCTACTAGGCAAAATCTCTTGATCACTGTATCATGCAATCACTAGCCCCTTCCAAAAAACCAGTAAAACTGAATCCTGGGTTGTAAAATTTTAAAATTTTGTTCAGTAATTTGCCACTTTTATCTGATTTGGGCCAGAACATCCTTAGACCCTTTTGGTTTTACAGGACCAGTAGCCTAGGCTTTAGAACGTTAGGCTCTGATTTCATGATGCCAGTAAATCTGTTTACATATGAACGGACAAGGTATTAACCATAAATAAGTCCCAAACTCCTACCCTTAGTTTTAGAGCACCATCAACATCTATGTATGTGTCAGATTTGGCACATATGATTAGGAAGCAAGTAAGAAAGACACTTGGGGATACTGAAAATACCAATTCCAAAAATAAATCATGTATGAATATATAGTATGCAAACAAGGTAGTGCTCATCAAAGGTGCACTAATTTTCACCTGCCATTACACATAATAACCCAGAGTTTAAAGTCATAAAATCTTGGGTCCCATATCTGATGTACCTATTAACATTCACTTGTGTCTTCAAGCCTAAAACTTGAGGTGCTGACTTCAAAGTCAACCGAGACATTAAAGAATTGAGAGAGGACAAATAAAAAAATGACCTTCTTCAGAATAATCCTTCAACGATTAAACTCGAGAACAAGTAGCCAAGAATTCCTGAAATCTCCACCTTGAGGACTTGTTAATTCGCACACAACAGTGAAATATTGACATATTTCTCTTCTGCAAACATTCAAGAAGAGGTTCATCAAAGTTCAAGTGGGAACATGTCTTTTCAGTTTAAACAGTGGGAGTTCCTAAAACTTTTTTCCTGCTTACCTTTGTTAGAGAGCTAACACTATTATCATAAACATCCATCTCGTTCCAATTTTCTTGTCAACTTTTTAGACTATAAGTCACTGGGGAGATTAGATTGCCGTGGAAACAAAAAACTAACCCATTAACTTGCAAGAAACGTGCCATTTTCATATAAATTAGCTAAATCAAATGAGTAATACTTAAAATATCTGACAAAAAACCTTCTCACCTGTATTCCTAACATCTGTTCTTTTCAATAGTAACAAAGTGCTCATACCTGTCTTAAGAATAGTTATAATGAAGAGGCTTAACTTGCCTGTAGTAAAAGACAGGTGATTACAGAAATTTGCAACAAAGAAAATTAAATTGGTGACAACAGGATCAGCCAGAGAGGAATGCATGGCCTGAAGAATTTTCTTTTTTAATGAATCATACAGGATATACTGGTGTGTGTGTGTGTGTGTGTGTGTGTGTGTGTGTGTGTGTGTGTGTGTGTGTGTGTGTGTACGTGCTCCTCATCACACTCACAAAGCCTTAAGTCCTACCACACAGCCTTAAATTAAAGCACATTTCTAAGGATACTTTCATTTTCCTGACAGTCTTTTTTAAGTGACTTCTCCAGTAAGTTCAAATATTTCCCCTGGGCCATGAGATGTCATTTCAGAAACAATAA